CATTACTCCTCCGGGAAAATTTATTGTTTATATTTCCCAAGGGTAAGTAATAAGTGAATGTCATGGATTCGACTAAAATTCGAACTCGGCTCTCCGATTCCTCAATCCGAGCCGCTATCCATTACTCCTCCGGGAAAATCTTGAAAAGTATTTAACCCTTCCCAATGGTATTAGCACGTACCGACTTTCCCCAGATCTCCGATTCCTCAATCCGAGCCGCTATACCATTAAGGGTCCGGGAAAATCTGAAGAGGATTCATACCTTTCCCAAGGGTATTTGCACGTAAGAATGTCATGGATTCGATTGCAATTCGAACTCTCGTCTCTCGATTCCTCAATCGAGCCGCTATCCATTAATCTTCCGGGAAAATCTAGAAGAGGATTCATACCTTTCCCATGGGTATAGTCTGGTAAGTGAATGTCATGGATTCGACGCAATTCGAACTCGGATCTCCGATTCCTCAATCCGAGTCGCTATCCATTACTCCTCCGGGAAAATCTAGAAGAGGATTCATACCTTTCCCCACTATTAGCACGTAAGTCATGTAATGGATTCGACTGTCGGTTTCGAACTCGGCTAATCTGATTCCTCAATCCGAGCCGCTATCCATATATATCCGGAAAATCTAGAAGAGGATTCATACCTTTCCCAGGGTATTAGCCCGTGAAATTAATGGATTCGACTGCAATTCGAACTCGGATTCCGATTCCTCAATCCGATCGCTATCCATTACTGCTCAGGGAAAATCTAGAAGGATTCATGCAAGACCGAGGTATTATGAAATGTAATGGATTCGACTGCAATTCGAACTCGGATCTCTCGATTCCTCAATCCGAGCCGCTATCCATTACTCCTCCGGGAAAATCTAGAAGAGGATTCGAAATTAGCCCGTGAGTGAATGTAATGGATTCGACTGCCTTGAACTCGGCTCTCCGATTCCTCAATCCGAGTCGCTATCCATTACTCTCCGGGAAAATCTAGAAGATTTCATACCTTTCCCAAGGGTATTAGCACGTAATGCAAAAGTGAATGTAATGGATTCGACTGAATTCGAACTCGGCTCTCCGATTCCTCAATCTGAGCCGCTATCCATTACTCCTCCGGGAAAAAATTAGAAAAAGAAACTCATACCTTTCCCAAGGGTATTAAAACGTAAGTGAATGTCATGGATTCGACTGGAATTCGAACTCGGCTCCGATTCCTCAATCCGAGCCGCTATCCATTACCTCCGGGAAAATCTAGAAACATGATATATATTATCATACCTTTCCCAATGGTATTAGCACGTTTTGAATGTATTATATTCGACTGGAATTCGAACTCGTTCATCGATTTGAATCCAAACCTTTTCCATTAATTCGGGAAAATCTAGAAAAGGATCTTTCATTTCCCAAGGGTATTAAACGTATATTAAATGTCTTATATATTGATATAAATTCGAACTCGGATCTCCGATTCCTCAATCGAGCCGCTATCCATTACTCCTCCGGGAAAATTCTACGAGGATTCAATCCTTTCCCAAGGGTATTAGCACGTAAGTGAATGTAATAGATTCGACTTAATCGAACTCAGATCTCCGATTCCTCAATCCTCAAATGCTGCTTAAACTGTCCTCCTCCTCTTTGTTACTATCTTAAAATCTTTTTAAGCTGTTCCGAGAATTTAAAACTACTCATATTTTCGTAACAATTGAAAAAGTTCACGGAGAAACGGATATTCCATACTGGACGATATGTTGCTGCTTCCAATTCTGTCATCTATTACTACGCGAAGCACTCGGTCAAGAACATGTTGGCAGACATTGAACTGTGGTTCCTTCATTTATTTGATGAGTCAAATATAGTATTTGTAAATAAATATCATATTCTATTAAGAGATAAATGTTAACATTCGTAGTGTCCGCAACAATCATCTTTATTCTCTTGCATAAAATTTTATTCATCCAATCTTCACAGTTATTCCTTTGTCAAAAAAAGAAATTTCGTAGATTTGGGATTTTGAGATTTTCATTTCGTTAAACCATTTATCAGAAAAATGTAGACGTTTCCTTTCCTAAGTGTAGTGATTCTTCATTTCATCTTTAAGATTAACAGCTTCCTTAATAGCAGATCTCTAAATAACAGACTGAGGAGGTGTCTCAACGTCAATACATTTATGAGATAACAGTCTCATTAATAGCGGATCTCTAAATACCAGAATGAGAATATGTCTCAACCCCAATCCCTTCTTGCGAAAACAGCTTCAGTAATAGTAGATCAGTTTAATACCAGATTGAGATGTCTCAACCTCAATCCCTTCTTGAGATAACAGCTTTATTAAGAGTAGATATGTAAATACTAGAATGAGAACGTGTCTCAGCCTTAATCCCTTCTTCAGATAAAAATTTTATTAATAGTCTGTCTGTAAATACCAGATAGAAAAGATATCTCAGCGTCAATCCCTTCTTGAGATAGCAGCCTCATTAATATTAAATCATTAAATAGCAGAATAAGGACGTCTCAACCTCATTCCGTACTTGGGATAACAGCTACATTAATAGTAAATCTGTAAATACCAGATAGTGAAGGTGGCTCAACGCTAATCTCCTTTGCGATAACTGCTGACAGAAATTTGTTTGCGGGTTGATACGTTTGAAGATGTTTCTAATTTGATTGCTGTTTTGGTTTTGCTATACTTCTTCCTTTTGTCATGTGAATTGTTCTTCAGAACTTTCGGACCCCTCATATTCAGCCTCTGATTGGTTCTCTTCTTTAACCTCTGATTGAGTCTTCATTCCAGTTCTTATTATTCTCTGGTTTTACCTCTGATTGGATCCTGATTCAATTTTCAATTGATTCAGATTCAGCCTCTGATGGGATCTCGGTCTCTGATTGGGTCTCTGGTTCAGCCTCAATGGATCTCTGGTTGAATATATGATTGGATCTAAAATTCAGCCTCTATTGAATTGAATCTAAATTCAGGTGTCCGTTGAATCTGATTCAGCCTTTTTAATCTGATTCAGCCTCTATTTTCCTTTCTTATAGTGATTGGATCTCAGGGTCTGAATGGATTCAGCCTCATATTGGATTTCTGATTCAGGCTCTGATTTTCATCCTCTGGTTCATATATCTGATTGGATCTCTGATTCAGCCTCTGATTGTTATCAATAAAAATTGGGTCTCTGGTTCAATGTTGATTGGATCTCTGATTCAGCCTCTGAATGGATCTCTGGTTCATTCTACTGATTGGATCTCTGGTTCAGCCCCTGATTGGGTCTCTGATTCAGCGTTCTGATTGAATCCTTTTATTCAAAAATGATTGGATCTTGATTCAACCTCTGATTGGGTCTCTGGTTCATGTCTGATTGGATCGCTGATTCAAAATCTGATTGGATCTCAGATTCAGCCTCTGATTGGATCTCTGGTTCAGCCTCTGATTGGATCTCTGATTCAGCCTCTGATTGGGTCTCTGATTCAGCCTCTGATTGGATCGCTGATTCAGCCTCTGATTGGATCTCTGATTCAGCCTCTGATTGGGTCTCTGGTTCAGCCTCTGATTGGATCCAATTTTCAGCCTCTGATTGGAAAAATGATTCAGCCTCTGATTGGATCTCTGATTCAATTGGATGATTGGGTCTCTGGTTCAGCCTGAGAAATAACTTGGATCGCTGATTCAGCCTCTGATTGGATCTCTGATTCAGCCTCTGATTGGGTCTCTGGTTCAGCTTCTGATTCGGATCTTGATGTGATTGTTAATTTTGCTGATGTTTGCTCCAACGTCGCTTTTTCTTCTTTTGGTTAGATGAATAGTTTTGAAACTCTCAGTCTTTCCATCATGGCCTTTGATTTCGATCTGAAAATGATATAACCATATATTCTCACTATACAGTATATAATTGTAAAAGAGAAAAATTTTGATGTCAAAATTTCTATTCAATGTATCATATTTTCCTAGTTTCACACATTCGTCGCAAAAATTCATTTTGATTCGGTTCTGGTTGTATGACTTTTATATAAATCCAAAATTTAATTCCTTTATATTTACTTGTTACCTCTTTAGCGATTTCCTTCATACGCTCTTTCTCTCCTCTGGTAGATGCTCTAAATAACTGATAGTGATCAACAATTTCCGCAAATCCACCAAAGTTTCTCAATCAGGAAGCTTATATAGTCTAAATGAAAACAAATACTGGATCACAGACACAACACATTTTCCTATTCGCCTTATCTATTTTTCTATTATTGTGAAATACAATAATTGCGTAACAAGACCAAAAAGTGTTTGGTAGGTTTAGTAGGTTTTCATCATTTACTATTTTAGATCTAGCTATTCAGATTTAGGACCTATCCATTCATTAAATTTTACTCATTCACCACGGCACAAAAATAAGTGTGGCCGCTGTATTGTCTTCAGACAGAATCAAGAAATCCAATCAGTAACGGAATCATAAGCTAAATATGGGCGTGGGAAAATCAAAAACTGGCCCACTCTAGATGAGAAAGGAGGACAAAAACAAACTGGGGAGGTTGGAAATATCGTTTTGGATCATAAAAAATGAAAAGCCGGATACAGGTCTAGAACGACACTTACTCGCATTAACTAGTTAAACAAAGACAGTCTATCTTAACCAAGGGATAGTTCAAGAGGACCCCTGAAAAAATTGTTAATGACCAAGTGAACTTTAATAAAATTTATCAAATTAAAATCCCTGTTTACATGAACCAAATTCTACTATTGTTTTTTGTGTGATGCGGCATTTTCCCTGGGCGGATTGACCGGCTTCTTCCTGTTTTTTTCTAAGATTCTTGGGATAAATTACAGAGAAAGGGTCCCAGGCCTACTCGGATAACGTTCTTGCTTTCCGCGGGGTTCCCAAATACGCAGAGGCAGGAACGACCAGAATATATTGTGATGCAGACGCTCCTTGGATTTTCACCATAGCCCTTGTTAGCCGGCGTATGTCAGACCTGTTTGGCTTACACCACCCACCGACTGTGAGGTACATACTGGACTTTGGGGCTTACAGTAGTAAAAGTTCCCAAGCGGTCCCCCATCTAAGTACTGACCTGGCTCTACGATGCTTAACAATGATGATCGAACGAGAACCGGTGTTTTCAACGTGATTTGACCATAAAAAATATTTTTATCCCACCTTTCACTATTTAAGTTAAACTTATATTATGCAAATTTGAATTTGTTTTTACGTCGACATTTTAAAATGCCCTTAATAAAAGTTCCATAATATTCACTTCCCTCTAACTTTTCAAATGTCGACAGTATAACTAATTCTAATTTCTATATTTTGGTCCTCCTATAACCTCTTTACACTATATTATAATTTATAAACATACCCGCTACTTTCATATCTCCCCAACACTCTTTCCATTAATCCCTTACATGCTTTTATCTATATATTTTAAATTTATTTTTAGACCCCCTTTTTACTCCTATTTTAAATTAATTTTTCATTCTTCATATATAACTTCAAATTAAAGTCATGAGTTTAATATTCGGATTTTAATTTTATAAATCTTCTTCCCTTTAAGTCCTGTCTGGTGCGTTTCGTCTGACTGAAACATTGAAATGGATAAATTCTGTATTAGTTTTTTGACTGGTAGTTTTTTTTTTTTTTTACTTTTGTATTCACAGTAAAATTCTACTTCCTCTCCGCTCGCTATCTGTATAGACACGAACTCAGTCCACACCGGGTTTGATAAAACAGACGACAGATATCCTCGTCTGCTGAAATATATTATTTCCTCTATAAAAAGTAATTTTGGATTTTATTTTTTATTTTATATATATATATATATATATATATATATATATATATATATATATATATATAAAAACAAGTAGGAATTTATTAAAAAGGTTCAATTCTATAACAAGATAAAAAATATTGGAAAAAGATCAAAATTGCTTGGGTTAGAAATATACCGTTCTGGCTTATAGAAATTATATCTGAAAATGAAGAAATTATATATTATTTTAATGAAATATATATGAATGAAGATATATATATATATATATATATATATATATATATATATATATATATATATATATATATCAATTAAAAATAATATAGACAAGTTTTGTCTATTTATTTTAAGTTCCTTTCATATTGTCTGATAAGCTTAATAACATTATCATTGAAAGACGAAAGGAAATCACCATATTGATACATGTTTAAATCCTATCTAAGCTTTCGGCTTACATAAGCCATTATCAAAGATGACAATTACTTTTTAATATATCAAACAATACACGGACGAAACAATAATGATAGTCTGTTTTTGTTGCATGAAAAATTTCAAAGCAACGACAAACTCGTGTATACGAGACGCGGAAGCAAAAATCGCATCGCAGCTCGTGACGTCACACATGACCATGCGAGAGTGAAAACGAGAAGTATTAAGTATGGGAAGTTGTTAATATGAACCAATTGCTTCTGTTATCAATTATCGGCATTTAAGAATAATTGTGGAGATTTCCTAGTTTATTTTGTTCAGCTTAGGTTTCAACAGATTTATGTATATACCTTCAAGAATTTTTAGTTTTTGTTTATTGCTTTCATGTTTAAGTATAGCTGTGTTTTCAACAAGGATTTTCTGGAATTGTGTACGCGGCCAGGCATGTTGTTTTAAATGCCTAAAAATGTTAGATTTATCATTCAAATTGCTGCCTAAATATACACTATATATATATATATATATATACGATAAATATTGGATATAATATATATTGATATATAATCTCCCAAAGGGCTATTACTTTTAAACTTGTTTTTTTTTCAAAATAATAAAAAAATAAAAGAATTAATTTAATATTTGTTCATTAGTTTTTTTTATTTTTACGTGACACGTTTAATGATTAACAGATTTAACCTCAAATATTTTTGGCAAATGTAAATATATTAGTAAAATTACTTTATACAGTATATATTTTTTGATTTAAAATGGGAAGCAACATATATAATATTTTGAATATATATAAATATTCTCGAATAAAATAAATATAAGGTTAAAAAAAAGGATGTTTTTGTTGATAACTATTTAGTTGGGAAGCAATTATATTCAAATATGTGTTTGTTATTATTCTACGGTAAATATAAGATAAAGTAGGATTTTTGATTCATATTGTTTTACGTGTAATGAATTAAGATTAATATTCAAATATTTTGAATTGTTCTCGACGGTAAAGTGTTTGTAGGTAAGATATGAATTTACAGGATTATATATTTTTTGAATGAAGCAATAGATAATATTAAATATGTGTTTTGTTTTTCACGGTAAAGTTGTAAAAAAATAATATTGTTTGATTGTATATCATGCCACGTGTAAAAAACATATAATGTTTAAATATATAATATTTATAAATAAATATATAAATATGATATACATATGTTTTGATTGGATACGTGCCAATGTAATGAAGCAAATTTATAATAATAACGACGGTAAATTCAAGGTGAGATACATATATTTTTTTCAGTTGCCACGTTAATGAATTTTTTTTTTAAATGGCTTTAACATTCTTTTATAAAAAAAAAAGGTAATTCATTCATTTTTGAACTAAAAGAATGAAGAACATATATTCAAATATTTTTATTCGATTTTATGATAAGTGTTTGACATTACAGTGTTGTTTTGTTGGATAAACTTATTTAAACAGATAATTTCAAATATCCTGATTCTCGAATTGAGTGATAAATGAGTTTCAGTTTGATGTTTTGATTGGATACGATAATCAAATGAATTTTTTAATATTCAAATATATAACAAACATTCTTTAAAGGTGAGCAAAATAAAGGATGTTTTGATTGGATACAGTGCCACATTTAATGAAGCAAAGTAATATTCAAAAATGTGTGGCAAACATTCTTTTTAAAAATTGTGTAAACTAAAGTTTTGTTTCTTGGATAAATGCCACGTTTAATGAAGCCAGATAATATTCAAATATGTAAGAAAACATTCTGGTTTTGTATTGTAAAAAAACAAAAAGACGTAATGAAAAATAAAAGGAAAAATTTGTTTGTTTTGATTATTCATTAAAGTATTTGTATTTTTCTTTATATATTGATTTTTATGTATTCGCAAGAGATAAGATAGATTCATGAATAATTTTTTCTCTATTTTTTTAATTTTTTTAATTTATATTTTTAAATCTAAACAATAACCTTTGCAGGGAGAAAAATATTTTTGCTCTACTATATATACTGCTCATCTACATTTTGATAATTTTTGTATCATATTTATATTCCCCCAGCAATAATATTTTGATATGGTCCTGGTGAAAATAGGGCTGATAATCCGTAAAAAAAATGACTCTATCCACTGACGATGATTGAGGGTATCTCAGATTCCAAATACCGATTTTCTTTGCTGATTATAACGAACAAAAGTTTTATATTTATTATTTACCTCCGTTCGAAATTAAATAATGGATAATTTATTTGAATTAATATTTCGGCCGTTGTTTTCAAATAAATTCTTTTTTTATTCTACCGAAACAGAATAGCCTTCAGAGACTGGACTTTCTCGTTCAACCGACGATGATGCTACGATCAAATTAAATGAATACTTTTGCAACTTGTTTACATCACCAAAAGTTAATTCCAACCTTAGTCGATCTCCGTTAGTATTTGGATTTGGCATCTCTTTGTATTTTCTTATGGTCAACTTCATGCAAATTCAAAATATGTTTCGGCGTTAATAGCTCACAAAAGGTTGATAAGCCGTAAAAATAAACTATTTAAAAAGGATTGAAAATCCGTAAAAAATAATAATAATAAAAAACATAAACAATTCATTAAAATGTCCCAGATTATCTGGCCTTTAAAATAATACACAGTTTATATTCATCTGAATCCCATTGAGCCGTGTCTGGACAACTCAGCTCAGGGATTAAATTCACGATTACTATGCTACCAAATTCACGAATCAACTCTGTCGCCCTTAGGTTAATGATCTTGTTCACTAGGCTCTTATTCCTCATCACAGTTTTATATACTAAGCTTCAAATTAATTCTCTTTCTGGTTCTTTTTCCCCGTCAAAAAAAAATTAATTTGAAAAAATAAAAAGTCGTTTTCTGAGCAATTTTTTTAAAATATAAAATTTGGCCCCTTTAATAAAAATACATTCTAAAAGTCGGAGCCAGAACGGCATTTTTAACGTTTGATTTCGGTTGTTAGCTTTCCAGGTATATGTATGTTCGGAAAATTGATCGGTGGTATTATCCGATCAGAGTCGTGGTTAACGGACCAAGACGTGATTTTCGATTTGTTTTCACGTATGTATACATGCATTCATACGTATTGTTAATTGTATTGTTACTGGTTCTTTGATAACGATGCATTTAGATCTTTTATTTTATACGCCCCTGTTAACACACACATATATATATATATATATATATATATATATATATATATATATATATATATATATATATATATATATATATATATATTGTTATATAGATAGAATTTAGAGAGATAAAACAGTTTAAATAAAGATGGGGTTTTCAAATGTTTGTTCGCATTTCAATCCTGAATTATTAGTTGAAGGCCACATATGAATGGAGTTCATTCATCAAAATATATTCCATCTTAATTTATTGTCTGCTGCTTTCGTCGTTCTAGGAATTATTCAATGTTTATTCATTGTTAGAGGCAAAAAAAAATTTCCACTCACTTTCAACCTCATCTCAAAACCTAACTCATAAAAATTCTATGCATTCTGATGGCTACAAGCAGATGGACTTTAGACAGATTTCTGAATGAAAATAATTCTGGCAGAATATTATTCAGGTTAATCCAGAAACGATTGGAAAACACATTTCTATCTATATATATATATATATATATATATATATATATATATATATATATATATATATCATAAATACTGTTTCCTATTCTCATCTGAGTTTTGAAATATAGATCTCCAGTGACAAACGAAAAAAAAATTTAAATGGTTTATTGATTGAAATAATCACGTTTTTTATGAAGAAATCTGCCTTTTGATTTTCCTAGCGTGATAATATGTGGCACAAGGCAGAAATGTTCAGGAGCACCCAATCCATTTCATTTACTTTTAACTCAGTCGTAATTCCTTACAAATTAAG